AAAAAAAAAAATCGACCAGCACCAGCTCTGCTTTAGTAATTACTCTTATTTCACTTTTTTTTCTATTATGTTTCCTAACACTTAACTGCTGAAACCCAAATGATTGAGATAGTTATGTCTAAAAATCAATAGTTTGAAACCACTTTCCCCTCATTAAACCATTAAGATTTTAGCAAGAATATGTTGTTTTTATAGGTATATAAACCTGTCTTGTATATTCCATACTCTTTGAGTAATACTAGATATAAACATAAATGGCATAACAAGCAACCAACTTTGTTAAAACTTGTTAACTAAAAATAGTGTCTGTGAAACCAGGAAGAATATTTGAATTTTATTTTCAATCTAATCCACATATCCTTATTTTACCAATCTTCCCTTCAGGTACAGCAAAGTCTCCATATTATTTTCAAATGCTAATTGTTATAGGATATATTTTAGTTTGCTTAATAAAAAAAGATTGTTTCAATTTCTTTTTAAAAAATATTCAATTCTCTTCAGCTAACACATCATCCTTCTGCTACATAGGGTTTAAATTGTGACCTCAAATTTAAAGATGTGATTGAGAAATAGTAGCTGAAAGTAAAACTGCCATATTTTACCCTTATACCAAAAGGCCCAAATGTTTTACTCTCCTTGGCTGAATTATAATGGTAAATAATGTGTGAAAATAGCATCAGTTCTTAAAAAAAAATCATTCACTCATCCATTCAGTAAGTCATTGTAAAACATTTCCAAATAATCTAACGAACAACTATGCAATTACATGTTGAGAAAATGTGTTCTAAAGAAAATGGTGATGGTTCTGAGAGATTCTTTAAAATCTCGATTCATTCTGAGAAATACAGGAACGCCGTTTCTAAAAATCAATACCTGTACTGAAGTTAGAGGGGGCTTATTCCTTTAACAAAGCTATCCACATTACATTTCCTTACACAAAAAGCATATACATAACTTTTAGAAGAATTTGTAACACAAGTGCCAGTAAAGCCAGTAAGGAAAGCTAAAAAAAGGACTAGGATGATATCATGTTATCCAGTACTCTTTGTGCTCCTAGGATAATATCATGTTATCCAGTACTCTTTGTGCTCCAAGTGTGAGAACATAATTCTGATTAGCCTGAAAGGAGGCGATAGAATGTTAATGGTTGAGATCAGATTTTATTTATTTTTTAATTTAATTTAATTTTTTGAGACCGAGTCATATTCTGTTGCCCAGGCCAAAAAGCGGTGGCATGATCTCGGCTCACTGCAACCTCTGCCTCCCTGGTTCAAGAAATTCTCCAGCCTCAGCCTCCCAAGTAGCTGGGATTACAGGTGCCCACCATCAACCCAGCTAATTTCTTTGTATTTTTAATAGAAACTACAACATTGGCCAGGATTCTACAACATTGGCCAGGCTGGTCTCGAACTTCTACCTCAAGCAATCCATCCTTTTCAGCCTCCCAAAGTACTGGGATTACAGGTGCCCACCACCAACCCAGCTAATTTCTTTGTATTTTTAATAGAAACAGGATTTTACAATGTTGGCCAGGCTGGTCTAGAACTCCTACCTCAAGCAACCCATCCTTCTCAGCCTCCCAAAGTGCTAGGATTATAGGTGTGAGCCACTGCACCAGGCCTATTTAATTTTATTTCAACTTTTGTTTTAGGTTCAGGGTGTACATGTACAGGTTTGTTACATCGTATATTGCATGATGCTGAGGTTTTGGTTAGAAATGATGCTGTCACCCGGCATCATTTGATGAGCATAGTACCCAATACATTGTTTTTCAACCTTCACCCAATTTCCTCCCTCCTCCTCCTTCTAGTCCCCATTGTTCCCATCTTTATGTCCATGTGTACTAAATTTTTAGGTCAATATTTATACTCAGACTGCTAAGACGTCTGCTCCTCTTACGACATCCTGAATTAGTTGCTTATTGTGGTGTACACAGTGATTCACTACCCAGATCTTTCTTCAAGGCGAGGCTTGATGTTTCAACTCTGGAGAATACTAGAGGCCCCAGCCTCCACTTGCCTTTGCTCAAAAATTCTGCCTCATTTCAAGTCACACCCTCTTCCCAAGATGACTCACATCTAAGAACCTATCAAGTGGGCTACACAGAAGTAATTTTGTGTTCCAATGGAACCTCTTTGAAAAACCAGCATAGCCTAAGGGCCCTCAGTGGTTCTTGCAAGACTTGTCTGTAGGCCTGCACTGCTGCTCCTCTTCCATCTCTTCCCACCCCTGCTTCCTCTTCCTCCATCCCACAGGTGTTGGTCCCAGGAGCACCCCTTAATAAACACCCTGCCTGCTAAACTCCGTGTTAGAGTCTGCTTTCTGGGAAACCCAATCTGTGACTTATACTCTCTGACCTTCTACTTTTTCATCTGTTAAAAGAAATTAGCAGAATATTTTTTTTTACCAGATTACAAAAATTGCATTCACAATACTCTCAGAATATCCTCAATGTGGTGACTTATACATAGTAAATTGTCTATAAATTTTATCTACATAGATGATGATTATGATGATTGGGAGAGAGAAAATAGGATAAACAAGTGTGGTTTGAATTCAGGATTTTAAATGACATTATCACACTCTATTGCTTTCTTGCTCTTTCCATTTATGTATTTCTTATGAGCAACTACATTTTCTGTTAGCTTTGTTTGTTTGCCTCCTGCACATACACCCTCTAGCACCATCCATGTGGGCAGGAGGAAGCTAGAAGTGACCTGAAAGAAAAAACAAATCTCTTCTTCCTTCTTCTGAAGGTATACATTTTAGTCAGTTCCTTTTGTGTTATAACCTCCACTGAACACTCGACCTTTGAGATACTCCAGTTTTGTGGGTGTTAGTAATTCTTACTTACAGATTTACCTTTTTGTATTTTGCATTGTACATGTATTTGGTTTGTTTTAAATTCTGTGAAAGTGTTGATTCAAAGACTCCTTTTAAATAGAAGCCACCAGGCAGCAGAATGGAAGCTTGGAGGAAGTTGCCCGTGAGCGCTGGTCTTTGTGTTTCATTCCATGTGTGTGATGATCCTTGCCAGAGTTCTTTGCTTTGTTTCAAGGGAAATGTCTTGGAGTACATTTTAAGTTCCTGAAGCTAATTTGGTTTAGAGGAATTTTGTTTTAAAAAATAGGATCATTCTGAACTTTGGAATGATCCCTTATAACTGTTCTGAAAACGAAAACAATTAGTTACATGAAAAAGATTTCCAATGAAGATGTCAGCATTTTATGAAAAATCAGAAGTTATTAGATGAAAGCAGTGATTTAATCTTTAAAACAGATGTGATCATGCACAAACTATAAGTCTTTTTCTCTTAAACTGGAAGTAAATCCTATATCAGTTAGAAATTATGTAGCCCAAAAAATGTAAATTCAAAGATACTTTTTGGCAATAGTTTATAGCAAATATATGAATCAAAGTGATTTGAGTTGTAAAAATGTAAAAGTATATGAACAAAATTTGTACTATACCAGATTTAAACATTTAGTGAGATTCACATTCATACTAATAAAAAAAAATTTTGTTCTTTTTGCATTCATTTTTTATTTTTATTAAAGTTTCAAAAGGAAAAAAAACAGAAAAATGTTTGATTTAAGGCCTAGTCTGGATGACATAATGTTACTTATTACTCCATAACTTTTATCCACCCTCCAGCCCAAATCTACCTGGGCTGTTTACAGTAGTCAAAATTTTACTGAAAGTTAAAACTTTCCTCATTTTTGAAATGCTCATCTTCCAGGAAGAGTTAATTCTTTACACAGTTTAAAAGACAAGAGAAACTTTATTTTTAACTCAGATCCTTTCCTCAGAATAAACATCGACAGGGAGAGAGCAAAGAAAAAAGAAGTGATGAGCAATTGAGAAGACGGCTAGAAATCAAGGAAAGAAAAAAATGAGGAGCTTAAAACTCCTGAAGATGTATGCCTTCTATTTTCATCACAGCATCAGTGTAGATATTTTCGATACATATCTTTCCTTGGTGTTGAAATCCAAACTGATATTAGCATTATATTGTACAATAACATGCTAATGTAAAAAAATGCCCTGTTGGCTATTGGAAAACAGTCAATAAAATAATGTACGAAAATTGTAAAAAAATAAACAGAAAAGTATTAACAGCCCTTTCCCTCCCTTTATCTACTAGAGGAGAACTCAAGGACCGTGAATTGACTCCTCTCATCAAGCCAAAGACCCAGAGAACTTCATTCTGATGAAAGATGAGCACTTCCTGTAGACACTGACAGATTTGTGGAACATGAAAGCATAATTTCTGGCCATAGGAAGTCAAATTTGTTTGAATAAGTTCTTTTCAAAAATGAAAATTTCTAACCTGCAAAATATTTTGATCTTGGACTATGGTGCTTTGGCTTTCCACCTAGGTAAATAATGGAATTTAGCTGACCTGCCAGAATAAAAAGTTCTTATTCCACTTACTCTCTTGTCTGAGCAACCAAAGTACTTCAGTTAGCTTTTTTGTGTTTGCCTCTTGTCTCAGCGTTCAGTCTACCTAGATAGATAAGTCTGCCTTTCTTTTTAAATTTCTTCTTTATTCTTAATTATAAAAGCTATTTAATATAATTAGGACTCTGGAAGAAAATAATTAAAATAATTATAATTGAACCACCCTACTATATCCCTTCCAATCCTTTCTGTATATTATTTCCTGATTGTTTTCTTCTCTAGTACAATTGTTCTTGTCATGGCATGACATTTCATATCCATCTTTTTTTCACTTAACAATTTACAATAAGCATGTACTTGTGTATTTATAGAGGCTTCATAACCATTTGTTAGTGGTTACAAGAGCTTGAATAAATACATCTATTATAATTTTCCTAATTTCCTATTATTAGAGAGTTTAGTTTCTCCCCAAATTCATAATTCAGTAGGTATAATCAAATTATACTTACTATATATTTTTAAATATACAGTTTTTTCATACTTTATATTTATTTAATATCAAAGTCTACTGAGATATTGTAAATAAAATAAAGTGCCTTTTAACACTTGTCAGTGAACTGAATGACAAAAGCTGTATATAAATAATGGTTCCAAACTTTGGACCACACTTCCTTTTAAGGTCAAAACACAGTGATCAGAGATATTTTTTCACATGCCCAAATGTGGCTTGCCATCAGTCTAATTACGAACTTCCCTCCTCTCTTCTGCAGTTTGAAGAAGCCTTCTTCAGCCAGATGTTGCTGTTTTCTTTGGTACTTGGTCTTGAATGATGATCACAAACATGACCCTTATTTTCTTTCAGTGAAGAACCTTCATCTTCTTCACTGAAATATTAGAAATCACAAGTGAATTACAAACCAAATATTTCAAACTGTTAGATTAACTATGACTGCCTTGACAATTCAAAGACTCAATCTCTTCTATAGCATTTCAAAAGTTATACAGATTATTGCTCAACCTCGAGTATGGGTCATTGTGGTAGAGGACAGACAATCATCTGAACAACACTCCTATTTGCAGTGAGGAGGGGTTTGGGCATCACCTCCTTTTGCTGTAAGTCAAGAACCTGTCTCTCTAAGGCCTAAAGAGTCAACCATTCACCTTTCACACTAGTGTCGTCCTATTCTTCAAGTACCAATCGTTTGCCAGAGGATTGGCTTTGGTCCAGGATAGTTGTCAGGAGGTAGTAAACACCACCTCCAGCATCAGGAGTAGGGTTGCAAAAATAAATAATAATCCAAATTTCAATCTCATGACATTTGCAAAAGTCTGGGTTATTGGGTATGAAATAACTCCACACATGGGACTTAACAGTCCAATCCACATTGTACTTCATCAAACTTTGTTTTGCTTCTCTTGATTTTCTTTGGGCAGAAGTCGAGAGGAAACTGTTATTCTATATTGGCTAGCCTTTTTGTGTAGTTATTCAAATAATACCAAAGGAACAACAGGCAAGTGATAATGCACAATCATGACAAGTGTGTGGGGGTGTATAATTCTGTATTTAAGAACACATGTATATGCTGTATCAGGAATAGTATCTATGAAGAGAGACTTGCTTAAAAAATACAACTGATGGCCGGGAGTGGTGGCTCACACCTATAATCCCAGCACTTTGGGAGGCCGAGGTGGGTGGATCATAAAGTCAAGAGATCGAGACCATCCTGGCCAACATGGTGAAACCCCATCTCTACTAAAAATACAAAAAATTAGCTGGGCATGGTGGCAGGTTCCTGTAGTCCCAGCTACTCAGGAGGCTGAGGCAGGAGAATGCCATGAACCCAGGAGGCAGACGTTGCAGTGAACCAAGATCATGCCACTGCACTCCAGCCTGTCAACAGGGTGAAGCTAGATCTCAAAATAATAATAATAATTTAAATTACTAAATTAAGATTCTCCATTATCATTTACATCTTAATGCCCTTAATGGAAATGATCAAAGGCTTTTTCAAAGAACAGAGAGACAATAGATTCCAAAGTTAAATTTAAAGCTCTACTCTGAGAAAGAAGAAGCTGGTGTGTGATGTTCCCCTTCCTGTATCCATGTGTTCTCATTGTCCAACTCACACTTATGAGTGAGAACATGTGGTGTTTGGTTTTCTGATCTTGTGATAGTTTGCTGAGAATGATGGCTTGGAGCTTCACCCAAGTCCCTGCAAAGGACAAGAACTCATCCTTTTTTATGGCTGCATGGTATTCCATAGTGTATATGTGCCACATTTTCTTAATCCAGTCTATCATTGATGGACATTTGAGTTGGTTCCAAGTCTTTGCTATTGTGAATAGTGCTGCAGTAAATATATGTGTGCATGTGTCTTTATAGCAGCATGATCTATAATCCTTAGGGTATATGCCTAGTAACAGGATTGTGGTCAAATGGTATTTCCAGTTAAGCCTGTCAGAGGGATGTGGGGATAGGAGAGGGACAACATTAGGAGAAATACCTAATGTAGGTGATGGGTTAATGGGTGCAGCAAACCACCATGGCACGTGTATACCTGTGTAACAAAACTGCATGTTCTGCACATGTAACCCAGAACTTTAATAATAAAAAAAGAAAGAAGCTGCTTTCAAGTTTACTTTGAAAGTTTGCTTTTACATTTTTGATTGCTATTCTTAAGAATGTTTCAAATGACAGCAACAATAATAAAGATACTCTGCTAGACTGATGCTCTTCAATAGAGATATTTTTAAAATCTGAAGTTTCAAAATCAATATGAAATCATTGATTTCAAAATCAATACAAAATCAGATTTTTAAAATCTGAAGTTTCAATATCTGGGAATATTAACTAGAGATAATAAAAGTGGCATAATTTCAATAAAGAGTGCTGAAGATTTCAGTGTCTTAAAATGTTTACAAAGTGATTTTTATTCTCTTGTATCACCTGAGAACAAATTGAGTTAAATACAATTCTTAGACTTTTTTGTGTACACTGTATTCAGTGAAAAAATTAAGGCAGATAATGATTAGTGATATTACACTGAAACCTTGCTGCCAAATTATAATTAAAACACATCTCAAACCAAAGTTTGCCACACATTATTTTTTACCACATACAAGTTTATTAGATAATATTAGCAAGCAAGTGCGAAACAATATTTTGCTCTTTGTATCAGATAAAATGTCGGGGGGGGGGGGGGGTAGTACCATGCATGAAAGATTAACTTAAGCCAGCCAATGCTCTGGGGGGGGGGGGGGGAGTTTGTTACATGTATAGTTGGCATCCGGCCTCTAGCACTCATATAAGTAAAATGTAGAACAAAGGATATTAGAGGCTGAGAAGAGTAGGGAGAAGGGAGAGAGAGGAAGAGATTTGTTAAACGATATAAAATTGCAGCTAGATAGGAAGAATACACTCTAGTGTTCCATGGCACTAAAGCATGGCTATAGTTAACAATAATAGTTTCAAATAGCTAAGAGGAGGATATTCCACTTTCCCAAAACAAAGGAATAATAAATGATCAAGATGATGGATATGCTAATTACCCAGATCTGATCACTATACATTATAAAAAACAAAACATTACTATGTACCCCATGAATATGTACAATTATTGTCAATTTAAATTTGTCAGTTTAATAAACATTTTTAAAAACTGGATATTTAATGAAAATATGTTCGATATTTACTATGATGATGTGGGTAGTCTGGTAAAATTTGTGTTGATAATGTTCCTGGTCCAAATAGTATTGACCAACTTTTATAGAATATCAGTTTTGGAGAATTCATCAATCACCATTTAAAAAGATGCTTTAGGCGCTTAAGGTCATCTGGAAAAATATATTTTAAAAAATATATTTAAAAAATATATTTAAAAAATTAAAAAATTTGTATATATATAAAATTAAGTAGATCGATAGATATTGATTCCTCTGGGAACTTTTCTACATAGAAGTGAAATAACTATACTGGAAGTTTTCCTCTCAGTCCTAGATAGCAAATATATTCTATTATAATCTTATCAGATGATTATTTGTTTATTCATTTATTTTCAAAAGATTCATTGAGTTACAATTGGTACTCAACAACCTGGCAGATATTAAAACTTGGGAAGTTTGGAACAGAGATAGATGCATACAATCATAAATAAAATTAAGATAATAAGCATATCCATTACCTCCATAGCTGACTGTGACACTTGTAATTTCTCCTTACCGACTCTCTCTACCCACCCTCTCCCTGGAAATCTGCTTTCTTCGCAAGTAGTGGTTTTAATTTTCTAGAATTTTATGTGAATGGAATTATGCAGTATTTACTTTTTATCTTCTTCCATTCATAATGATTTTGAGATCTATCCATGTTGTGTGTGTAACACTAGATCGTTCTTGTTGATTGCTGGTTAGTATTCCATTGTATGTGTATACCATACTATATTTACTCATTTATTTGTTGATGAGCATTTTGGCTGTTTATATTTTTTTTACTTACTATAAATAAACTGCTTATGTATACAAATGTTTCCATGGACATATCTGTCATTTGTCTTGAGTAGAACCCTACAGGTGGAAAAACTGGTTCATATGGTACATGTATATTTGTATTTGCATGAAACTGCCAAACTGTTTTTGTAAATAGATGTAGCATTTTATATTCCCATTAGCAATCTATGAAAGTCCAACTGCTTCAAACCCTTGCCAAAACTTGTTATAAGTAGTCTTTTTAATTTTGGTAATACTAATAAACGTGTACTGGTATTTCATTAAGGATTTATAATGTACTGATAATGTTAGGCAGCATTTTCTGTGCTTAGTCTCCTCCGAATATATTCTTTCGTGAAATGTCTGCTTATATATTTTGCCTATTTTGTTTGGAATGTTTATTTTATCATTATTGCATTTTGGATTTCTGGATTTGTCATTATTACATATGTCATATGCAAACATGTTTTCCCAGTCTGTGGGCAGTCTTTCATTCATTTAACCGTATTTTTTGAAGTTCAGAGGTTATTAACTTTAAATGGATTTATTTATGGTTTATATTTTGGTGTTAGTTAAGAAACCTTTGTACTATCGGGTCACAAAGATTTTTTTTCCAATTTTTTAAAATTTCCTAAATATTTTAGTTTTAGGTTTCACATTTAAGTTCATGATTCATTTTTAGTTAATGTCAGTATATGGTTCAATGTATGGATGAAAGTTTACTTTTTCTTTACACACAAATACCCAATCGTTTTAATACACTTTTGAAATATTTTATTTTTCTCCAATGAATTATCTTTACTAATTTTTCAAAAATTATCTACGTGTGGGTCTATATCTGAACATTGAATTCACTTTCATTTATCTGGTTGCCTCTTTTGCTGCCAACACTATACTACTCTTTTGGTTATGGAAACCTCATAATAAACCTTAAAATCTAGTAGAATAAGTCTTCAAACTTGGTTCTTTTTTCTAAATTGTTTTAGCTGTTCTAGTTTCTTGCATTTTTATATGAATTCTAGAATCAGATTATAATTTTTATTAAAATGCCTGCTGGAATTTTGGTGTAGATTCTTGTAAGTATACACATTAATTTGAAGAAATTGACAATTTAGTAATATTGAATCTTCAGATCCATGAACATGGAATATATTTCCATTTATTTAGACATTGGTTAATTTCTCCAAAAAATGTTAGATTTTAATATACATATTTTGCATGTCTTTTATCATATTTATCCTAAAGTATTACATATTTTTGATGCCCATGTGTTACTCAATTTTTAATTTCAATTTCCAAGTATACATTACTGGTTATACCAAAATAACTTTTTTTTTTGTACTCACTTTTTATCCTGTAAAATTATTATACTATTTAGTAACACAAAAACGCTCATTAGTTT